CCCCCTTCCACATGGAAGCCATCGAAATGGTCACCCACCAAATACGTCTCCGTAGGCTTCCTCAGGGCAGGTTCGCGGGTTCAGCGTGTTTTGGCCGAAGCACCCTACGGTCATCTGACGAGTCGGGGGAGTCTTGTAGCCTGAATTTTTGCAGCTAGGTTGTGATCCCATAACGCAGCGGGCACGTGTTCGGGTTCATGTGTGCTATGTCAAGGGTTCGGATCCTGAGTGGCGATCTTAGGCATGACAAGGATTATCAACTGCTACGAATCCATTCAAAGAAAACAACGTGAAAAAGTTTGTTGTTGGAACGGCTTTGTGAAGCCGAAGAGGGCAGACCTAAGAGTGACATGAAAGCGCAGCGGTTAAGAGGACGTGCTATTGTTTGCATGATCGGGCGATCGTTTTCAGAGCATTTCTGTCTATCGCACGTGGCCTGCAAAACTTCGCGATGCATGGACTCAAACTACGAAAGAAATTCGACAAAATCCCTACAACTTCAAGCAATTTCCAAACTCCTTCCTGAACTCATGAAGAACAGAAATACCAACTTGGGTTTTCTCTTCTTCATTTACTTGAAACTAGTGTTTTGGGATTTATCTGCTCAGGACAAAGCTTTTCAACTTCAAATCCCAGTCTATTAGCTCGGTTAGAATCGCGTTTTAGCGGAACCTACAAAAAGACGAATTTCAAAAACTGGCGCCGTGGGCTCTTAGAGTTCCATCCACCATTTATGGATAGTGTTCATGTCATCGATCCCTTAAGGCTTCGGGAAATTGAGATTAGCAACTTGCAGTCCCCACCAGCCTAACAATAAATAGGTCATTCTTCTCCTACAGTACGCGGAAATCGAAAGGTCTACTCTAGGAGTGTTTTGGAGTTTGGAGTCTCCTCCCTTCTTATAGGTAGTATTCCTCTGCTGGCAATCAACTTTCTGAGTCGATATGCAACCCAAACGGTAAATTGACCCCGTTCCTACCTCTGCTTGCGACGTATGGAAGAAGGTGTGTCATCCACCTGGGGGCTTTGAGGTCCTCTTAGAAGAGGGGGAGGGCTGATTTTGCCAAGCTCTGGCCGTTCTGGAATGATACATTTTATGAGTATTAGGTTGTAACATAAGTTCGTAGAGTTTTTCACAAAGATATCTCTGAACAAAAAGCAATAATTGTAATAATAAATTATTAAACAAGTTATTATAATAATCAGCCAATGCACGAATTGTTTGGCGACCAACCTCCTTCAATAGTGCCTTCAGATGCTCATGGTCGAATTCTCCAGGTCGTCCGCTTCGAGGCGTGTCTTCAAGGTCAAAGTCGCCATTTTCAAGCTTTGCTAACCATTTTTGTGCAGTAGACACACCTGTGTAAGACACCTTCCCCGTACACATTGCATATGTCCCGAGGTGTTTCGGCAAGAAAAGCAGATGTCGAAAATGCTGATTTTTTCCTCTTAGATATTCCATTTCTGAGCCAGAAAAAAGACGAACATTTAAATCCCCCAAAAAAACAGATAAGACAGTTTTGTAGAGGAGAAAGAGCTCTTTCGAATGACTATATACACTTTGCTGAAAAACAAATCAGTTCGTTGTAAAACAACTCTAACGCAAAACTCTACGAACTTATGTTACAACCCAATAGTTTTCAAGTGCGTGCGCGGTTTAAAAATGTATGACCCTTGGTTCATAATATCATCCACTACTGCATTCTCTTTACCTTCGTACTGTAGTGTGAATGAAAAACTACCTATTTATTGTTAGATAGGGTGGGGGCTGCAAGCTGCTAATCTTCAACTTTTAAAGCCTTAGGGGATCCTTTGACATTAACATTTCAAGGGTGAATCGTTACGATTTGCTAAGGAGATCGTAAGTGTGAAGTCCTGAAATGCTCAATCTAAGGATTATGTGAGGAATCCGCTTGTTTCGGAATCTACACTCTATGCAAAGTTTTCTAAACCATTTTGCAGGTATGGCCCATCTTGAATGCGCTCTCATGCGACTACTCAAGCAAAAAATTTGTGCCCTAACGCCACGAATCCGAACCCTCCACTTCACTCACAGAAAAGAGTCCAGATTCTTATCTGCTACATCGCAAAACCACACTGTTTCGGCTTGGCCGTCCAGTTTGATGGAGGTTGAAGCTCACTTCGGCTTCTTGGAGCTGTCCGATGGGCCGGCCGCCGGCATATCGGACCTTCAGCAGCGTATATCATCCTGCTTGAACTTGCAAAATTCACTGATTCAGAGAGCAGGCAAAGGTAATTGAGATCGGATAGTTTGAGGAGCCGAAATTGCTCTTTTGGTACTGATGAGTGGATGACAATTGCGCCGAAGAAGGAAGTAAATCTCAGGCCTTACTGCCTTCTGTTCTTCTTGAAAATTCTCTTTCACCTTTAGATTAAACAAGCTGCAAGACCAGCTCAGAAGCCTAAGCTTCGACATTCCTAACTCTTCAGAAGATTGCAGCTCGGTAGAAAATGCTTTTTATCTTCTGATCTCGGAACAGAGCAAAAATGACCACTTCTTTTTAAACTAGAAAAGTTTAAGCTTCCGCTCCAATATCCTATTTGCAACACTCGACCATCTTCAAACCTCTGATGTCACACTGGTCTAGCGATCAATCTGGTGCCAAAACTTTGCTGATGGGCTTTGATGGATTAGCTTCCTGGTCGTCACATTTGTTCTGCCTGCTTCGCATCACGTGCTGGGTCCACTTGATGGTAATCTATAGATGAGTAGGGACAGAGGAGTGTACAGCCGGAGACTGAGCGAATAGAGAAGACCAAAGTGATCTACACAGGACCTAAGAACTGGAATGAAATGATTTGTAGATAATTCTGAAGAAATGAGATCTGAAGGCACGACAAGGTTCCTTCCAATTTTTTGAGTCAAATGCTACCTCCCTGCGGAGGGAACCCTTGACGGACGCATTTGAGTTGTGAAACAGCTCCTGCTCACGGGCTCTTTCTACCAAAGAGCGACCTTTCCTTCGGCTTGCCACGTTTTACCCTTCCATCACCCCTTAAACCACCACGAACTCGGACTATCCCTTCGAATTGGGTTCTGCTTGAATTCCACTAGCGCCAGGCCCCTACCTAAACAACGTCCTGGTTCTTTGAGGAAAACGGGCTAACTACATAGCTACAGTTTTCGTTGACACGTACCTCAAAGTACGAGCGTGTTCATGCGCGCAAAATCAATACCTATCCCCAAAGCGTATTCGATGGTAGATTTTCTCAAAATTTACTAACAAATTACCAAAAAAACAATTGGAGGACTGCAAACTATTACTGGTCTTGCAGGGAAGCTTTTGCAATTGCAGTTTTCGTAGAGCGGTGACAGAGTACTACATGAGCATTAGTTCTCTGACACTCAGTTCCGCTTTGCCATCGCTTCAGAACTCTTCGACTCTGAACGTGAATCGATCGGACGCATAGTAGAGCCAGAAATCGGGTTTTGCGACCGGGACCTTCTAGGAGAGACTTTCAGGGACCTTTCAAACTGCTACCTAAATGGTAACCTTGACCGCTACCCAGAAAAAGAAGCGGCAAACATCAATGCTATATATTTATTTTCGTTCATGTCAAGCATGGAATTCAAACAACTCTTTTGGGCTTCGCTGTACAATTATTATAAGACTATTGCAACTGAAATACCGTAAAACGTGAACAAAATCGAAAGATCTTGAAGAATCTAGTAAAACTAGTTACTATTACTGCAAGTTTCGTTATTGAGCTAGTAAAGACCAGCGCTATTTCCTAGGAGAGACTCTGATCAAATGATGAGATAATTACAAACATAAGTGAAGGCACCGTATCACGATTATGGACAAATAAATAGAAATTCAATTAGAATCATTCCAAAGCACCTGATAGTTAGCATTACCGATCTTTCAAAAGTAGCTGACCAAAATAGATAGCGGAAAAATAGGCGATATAAGAAGGTATTAGCAGCAGTTACTTAGTAAATGGAATCAAACGCTTTACTCGATGGACACTGGCTCCATTTGAGGGAATTCCAGGTTTATACTCGCTCCGTTGAAACAACAACACCAGTACGTCCAGCATCTATTTGGTCGTTAAGCGGGTTTGCGAATGATTGAAACCTGTGAATCGACAATTTAAATAAGATTTCAAAGAAAGATAAAGTCAAAAATCAATGGAACTCTGACTGGAGGTAGGTAAAATCAAATAAAGGATTAAAAAAATGCTTGTTTGCAAAATTCTCTATACGGAACTATAGTGCATTTGCTAGCACATAAAGTCCTGAAATGGGTTCAGAAACAGGCCCCCGTAGCTCCAACCACTTCCACGACACCTTGCGAATGAACGAACAACCAAAAGTTTGAAGTGACCAGCCGCACCGCGACAGCACGCTTCCATAACTATATAACCTCACGTCGAGATTGAATTTTGATCAATATTGATCGAATCGAAGAATGAATTTATCCCATTATCAACTACAGCCACTTGCCGATGATAGTAATCAACGATGAATAAATTTCAAGCGCCGAAAAAACAAATGTAACATCCAGCTCAGGACGCGTGCAGTTGCGGTGCGGGTCTGAGAAACTTTTTGCGGCATTTGTGGGTAATCGATTATCTCTACCGCTGGGTCAATACGAACTAAAGCAAGTATATGAATCAATGATCGTTTCTAATTATGTACACACTGTGACTAAGTTACGAAATTCAATATCCGCTGTAATGCTCACTAAAAAAAATACAGAAGGATGAATGCGTCAACCCTCCCAAAACACAGCTGTCAGAACTTGATTGGATTGAAACTCATACTTTCCGGCTTTCTTGAAAAGAGCTGGGGGATGTTTATAAAGAGAGAAGGAAGAATCGTTCTGTCTACTTTAAGTGAGTGTAATAAATAGTGAACACAAAAAAATAAATAATTTCCTCTAAAAAACAGCAATTAACACATGCAATAAAGAAAATGATAATCAAAAACAAAAGAAGCATATGTTAGAAAGTGTTATAAGATGTTGAAACTTAGACAGAGTTTTGCCTCTTGAAGGCTAAAAAATTGAATGAAACTCAAAAAGGATATTGAAAATGACAGGAAAACCGTATGTTGGACGAACCTGGAACCGTCGCGTAACTGGTATGCCCAGTCTCGTATGCGGTCAATAAAGTGAAGCGCTCGGACGCTATTCGAGTCGTTGCCAGCCCCTAAAGCAAAGCCAAGCTGATCAACCTAACCGACCTAGGGAGTATAACAGAAATGCCATTTAAAGATTAGATTGGTGGAGGTTATGTGTTAGCGAGTGGAAAACTGAGAATATAAACACAAAAATTCGGAACTTGGAATAGTTGGCAGGGACAACTTCACTTCGTTACAAAAATATGCGCTGCCGCGTGAAAAATCAAAACTCTCTCGGATCGTCGCTTGCGTGAACAGCTTAAAGATACATAATGCGCCGAGTATGAACGCACCGTCATGTTGCAAAAAGTTTGTAAAAAGGAAAAAGATGAGGTATAGTTCTGTATCGAAGTCGAGAGGAGTACGACGTGAAAATAGAAGTTCTTTTAATGATATCTTTTACGAATCACTGGAAAAAAAGGAGCGGGAGTTGGAAACGTTTTAGAATGTTTACGAAGAGTACGGCTGAGTATGAGGTAAAATAGCTCCGGTGAAGGCAAAAAAGGAAAGATGGGGTACTTTAGCACGCAGATTTAAGGGGTATGCATGCGGCGGAGAAAGCACCGATACAGCGATATGAATCGACCTGTAAGGAATTCTTGAAAGGGGGTAGAAAAGCGCGAGGATTAGGGGTTAGATGAGGGATTTCGATAAATCCGCCTCTAAAATATAGTTCAATTGCGTCAATGCGCCCATTCGGAGTCGTCACTTTTGAAAGCAATTTGGAATTTGCCAAAGTTAATGTGACCTCGAAAAAGGAGGTCTTACTCAAGATACTGTTTCACGAACTCAGCTTCTATTGGGTTATAATACTTTCCACTACTCTCACACCTCAAAGCATTGACAATGAGATGAGTAAAAGATTCTTTCTAAGGAACACAATACAGCTCCAAAAATGGAAGATTCACAGCTTTATCCCCCGAAGGCCTATATCCCTTCAAAAAACATGCTGTTGATATCCATCCGTTTTGCGGCTCGAAAATCATATTAGGCACAATTAGATGGAGGACGGTATCAGAACTTCAGATCGAACTTTGAAGTGCAGTCGAAAAGAGTCAAAACAAGTGATGCAACACTGATTTCTTTGGAAAAATTCCAAAGCGGTGACCGCTAAATTTTGCCAGCATTGAAATCTTAAACACAGATGTGGTTACAAAGTAGAGTCATGTGCATAAAATGCAGTAAGAGAGAAGCTGGAGGGCACCTGGCAGTAATACGTGAAGAAAAGAAATATTAGAAATAAAAATAATCGCAAAAAGCAAGTGAATAAGCTTACTGTGACATCGACGTTTCACAGAGGTGAAGTGTGTTGGTTACCACAGGTAGGTAAATTACCATGGTGCGAAGGTTAGTGGTTGAGGAAGCTGGTGAAGCCCGAACCAAACGTGCCCGACAAGTAATCACAACCTACCGACCGAGGTTCAAAAGTGCCGATGGAGCAAATTGCGCCTGCGTTGTCGGTGAGCTCAGAGTTCCAGTAGGTGCGGTGGCAACAAAATCCTTCAGAGAAGAACGTTCCACAGACAACCCGTAAGTGTAGCGGTCCTTAACGAGCTCGATAATAATAACGCTCATGCTGAATCACAAAAAACTGAATGCCGCTTGGAATATTTACCTTTACAACTTCGTATGCATCCATTATTATGGCAATAAATAGAGATAGCACTACGTAGATAAACATCGAGACGAAGCAGTAAATGTACACAGTTCCAAAAACCTGCGAAAAAGTACGGTAATATGAGCACGCTAGAGACCGGCGATTCAATCACTGTTAGTGGGCAGAACGAAAAAGTATTATACTTATTGAAATTCAGAAATTTTATTTCAGCTGAAAATATAATGAGCAGCCCTTGAATGGCATATAGGATACGAAAGGAGATTACAAGTATCTAACATAGGGGTGGCCCATAGTGGCCTCAATAATTTAAGCTTCTTAGGTGGAAAGTTCCACCTTCAATGATGGTAAATGGTTTTGGAATTCGAACAAATTCTCGTTGAATATTCGATTTCAAGGCTATCATAAACATGTTAACCGAAAATAACATTAAGCACCCTGCTAGACCTAAGGCAACAGACTGAGCCGGAAATTCCCCAAGAAGAGAACAAGAACATATGAAAGAGACTAAGGTCACATAAATGCAATTTGAATAAATCTCAGATTTACCTTTATGGTAGTGTTTGAATCATTAATAGTGTAGAATGTAGCAAACATATCATCTCCATTCATCAGAGAGAACAAAGCTTCAGAAGACTCTCCCAGGGTTCGGAACTGCAAGAAATCGGAGGTTTAATCATGAAAAAAAACATGAAAAGTGTGAAAAAAGAAGAACCAGGGACGATGCACACCTTCATGCTATAGGGTCCAATAATAACCCATCCTGCAATCAAGAATCCGACGTATAAAACTATGGCACATGACATGAAACGTGCCATACTTGGAATGGATTTCTTTAGGGTAAGAATAAGAATCTAAAAAAGGTTAAGAATGTAAAATCAGCTTGAACTCGTACTTCAGAAATACCACCAATCAGCTCCTAATCTAATCCCTCAATTCAGAGGAACTCACGTTATATTGGTTGAAAAAGCCAAAGTAGCGAAGCACACCAACGTACACCAACAGCGCACCCATACCCAGCAAAATCCCCGTAAGAGTGAAAATCGAGTTATCGAAGTCCTGAAACTTCCGTGTAAAGAGAAGGAGAAAAAGCATTCAAAACAGTAGTAATTAGGAAGTTTCAAAATGAGAAGTCGCTAAGAACAAAATCGGTTTGATAGTGTACAAACACTAAGATAACAAAGGCTACTCACCCGAAACTCTATAGAAATCTTACTCATTGTTCCAACAATGATAAGAATGTCATTGGTGACAATCATAACATACCTAAAAGCAACATTATAAACACAACTGGTATGTGAAATAGGACGGCTGCGAACGAAAAAAGCGTACCAAAGATTGAGGAAATCGAGTTGATCGGAAACTGACATTTTGATTTTAAACATATTTTCAAAATAATCAATCGCTCTCTGGAAATAAACTTCTGGGTACCAGCTACTGGATACAGAGAAAACATGTGGACTCACGTTTTTCAACAAATGAGCTTTAATTAAAGCCCTGAAGCAAAGGACAAGTGAAAATATACATAGTAGCAAAACAATTACATCGACGATCCCCAATATCAATGTATCGAGGTTTAGTCCCGATCCTGCAACGAAGACTAGTGAGAAAAGATTCACTGAACAAGAAAGTAACGGAAGTTTGAGCAAACACACAAATCCTGCAACGATTACCTTTAATTACCCTTCCATTGCACACGTTTACATAAGAAATTACAGTGGATAAACCGACATGCACCTGACCGGTGTGTCGGGAATTGTCAAAGGCAATCGACACCTGCAATAGCCATTGCACACGTTTACATAAGAAATTACAGTCGATAAACCGACATGTACCTGACCGGTGTGTCGGGAATTGTCAAAGGCAATCGACACCTGCAATAGTAGACGTAATGCGAGAGAACAATGAACATATCCGTTCGGAAAAGCAATATTTGATATATGGCAAACCAGTGGCATGCCTAACGTGATATCGGAGACCTCAGGATTGTCAGAGATTAGAAAATTCAACGCAAATCAAAAAGTAATTTTGCAACTCACAGAGATTTTATAACATTCTGGTTTTTGATCGCCAGATTTGGGGCTGAAATGGATGGTACGCAATTTGAAAATCAACGTCGCTTTCGAAATAATCAATGCATCCTCGGACTTGAACGTGACACCTAAAAATAACAGAATTTCAAGGAACAAAAACCACATATAACCCCTTTTGTCCATTCTAGAAATACGAGAGAAGAATCAATGATATGGACGCATGATATGGACGACCGTCAGACCTATTGAAAACAAGACGCAGCAGAAACTTCAGAAAACAGAAAACAAAACATTGAGGGGGTCTCAAAAAAAAAAGCATTTCACACGGCTATCAGCCACTGATGAAGTTATCACTATGAGCTTTGTCTTGTTAAATTGAGATCAACTGGTGGAATTCTTTTCAAACGAATAAATAGAAGAAAGTTGTACCTCTTCTCTCGAAAGCTTTCGCCACAGCGTTGGAATCTGCACGAATTTGTTCTACTTCAGAAGCGGTCAAGTTCAAGTACATACATTCTGAACAGAACAAAATGGTTAGCAAGCCAAGAATCAGGCCAAAAAAACGCACCATGAACATCGGTGATGTCGAATTCGTAGGTGTTGTTGTTCACGGTAACACTGTTGATTCTATCTACACACACCTACAAGAGTAGAAAAGTACAACAGATCCAGAAAAGAAAACAGCAGAAGTCTCAAAGTAAGAAAGTCACCTGTATGAACGGAATGTTATCGAATTCGACACCTGCTGTAAGTGAAGGATCTGAGGCATTACCATGTTTTGGAGGTCTTTGCACATCGTAGCTGAAGGAAGCAAACGAATCCGTTTGAATGGAATAGTACTGAAAATCATAAATGTTAGGGAGGTGGAGCGCAAACGGCGAGAAGTTAAACAGTTTTACAGTAAGGACAGGGACAACAGCCCATATCAACCTTCTTTTTCTGATCTGTCGGGTCTTCATTTCACGACTCAAAAAAGGGGCGAGCATTCGATGTGACACTCATAGAAACTGCTTTTATTCCTTACTCCTTTTGCATAACAACCTCTTAGCTACTCTCTTGCGATATTTAAAAATAAGGACTATCACGGAGGTATAAGAGAGATTCGTTAACGTTAAAAAATGACCAGGAAAGAAAACATTCGTGCCAACACCAATCACCACTTTTTGTAAAACAGCCTTACATCGTGGCTCCCAAATCATTGCGCTGATGACAAAATTTTAAAATCAGCAAATCAATAAATAAAATCGATGAGAAACGCATACCGAACCAATTATAAAACTCAGATGATCAAAAATTCCTTGTCCATCGTAAACTGAATATCTGCCTTCTGCAGGAGGATACTGAAGAGCATCCCTGTCGTCGTTCCATTCCTAGAAAAAAAGAGCAAAAAATGTTGAATCAGAAATCGAGTACCAAGAGTGACTCTGTGAATCAAAATACCTTTAAAAATTTGTGCCTCATTACGGTATTGGTATCCTCCATGAAATCAACATGAGACATCCTCATTTCAGCGAAAAGTATTAATTGAATAGTGACAAAAATAATTTTCAACACTTGAAGCGCCAACTTATATGGGAACTGGCGGCGTACCTGGAATACCTTACATTTTTTCCACACATTTTGCGCCCAAGATTTACTGTACCTTCATTTTCTACCATCGACTCATAAAAGCCTTAGAATGAAGATAGACAATTCATTTTCTAGATTTCATTTCAAAATGATTTTATTGGCTAAAGTCCACCTATTTCCGCTGGGTTTACCGACTGAACCCTACCTATTAGAACTTCACAGCTCACAAATGGCTTGTGAGGGGCGGCAGAACTCAAAAATTAACCTAGAAGAGCCTGTCATGGGACGTCAAACACAGATAACATTGTCTGATTGCCATGCCAATGTTTTTTAAAATAATCGAGTTGACTCAATTTATTGAAAACTCGACTTTTCGAACGGACACTAAAGATGCCTTCAAGAAACAAAATTTAAAACTGAGATCCTACCTTCCATTTCTCAAGAGGATTCATAAAGAAAAACTGAAGATGTCGTCTCAATCGCTCCCCAGTATCTCGATCGACGTCATTCATTTCTTCTAACATTTCTTCAAATTTCACTGCACTTCCTTCATCTGGACTACAAAGAATAGGGTTAGAAAAGGGGCTTACACAAAATCAAATAAATAAACAAACAGAAGAACCGAAAAATATAGCCCCTACAGGAATTATCACAAACTCACGCTTCGGTACTAATCCTAGAATTAGCCGACATCCTACCGGTACTCCGCCGTGACATCTGAAAGATCAATCGCTTTACTTGAGTCGCCCGAAATGTACTGGATAAATTCGAACAAATTGAGAGGCAAGGTTTGCGAAGGAAAGCAAGGACAGGATGCAGGAGCGCTTAATCCCTACCCAGCTAGATCATTACTTCTAAACCATAGATTTGTTAAATAAAACCAAATGAAGACAAGGTGTTTGAAGTGTAAACAGGAGTTGACCTTCTCCCACACCAAATCTTCCCCACTCGACTTTTCCCAATTCATCACAGAGATCACCATTTCAACTTTATGCGGAAGTCAACCCAATGGACCGAAATTAAACATGAAAGAAATTTCCTCGAAACGATGACAAGCCACTTTACTGACCCACAGATGGATAGATCGAAGCGTGAGGTTACGGTAGACCGAAACAGTATGCAATTGCACAAGCCACCCGTCCGTACTTTTACTCACCACTTAGTTATAAATAGAAACAAAAGTCAGGCGCTATTTACTGTTTCGGAGGATGGCAGATGTTTGTAAAACAGCTCCAGGTATTGAATGATTTGGGAATTTTTCGAGTCCGCAGTTACAACCCAGGGAGGGTTCTGGGCGATGACCATCTGTGGAAGCCCTGCACCAGACTGCCTGAATGTACGACTGGGAACAATTTGGGAATAATTACTCTAACCAATGGGGATTTAAGGTAGAGAAGAGTAATACATAGCGGGCAGTGAACTGAGTCATAGTATGTAGGACAAGAAGAAATCTCAACTGGAACCGGTCTTCCCTCGCGTAGAGAGTACGCAATGCTAAGAGGCGCAAAAGGGCACCTGGGCCCATTCATGCTCAGGGTTTCAGTTGGAATTCCTTCTTGTTCTGGGCCCACTCATGCTGACCTGCAAGGGGTTGGTGACGGGAATGGGAACCTGGCACGGGAACCCCGTTGATACGGTAATCAAACTGTAGGCCTTGACTTTAACAAGAGGTCGGTAAAGCACACAGTCTCCCTATTGAATTTTCGTTCCTGTGGGAATAGGGACGGATGTTTACTGAAATGGGTGTGAGCTATTGCACGTGGTTATAAGGGCATAACAACTATTAATAGTTACGCATGCAATTCAATAAACAATCGTCCCCATCAAGGTCAAACTTGTCCCGGTTCTATCACCGCGAGGGTATCGCGTTTATTTTCGATTGGGGGAAGAGGGGATTGAGGGAAGGTGTAAATTGCTTCTAGCCGATGGTTGTTCGATGAATCTAGAAAATTTGCTTGTTCGTTCATGCGGGGAGGTCTGGAGCTGTCACAGGTGCCCCTCCCATCTCGCTTTTTCTATGTTGGACAGGTGCTTGAATGTCGAACAAGCTTGTATCAAAAGGGTTACGATTAACAGTAAGAGAATTCCACCGTCCGCTGGGAGTTGAAGGCGTCTTATCCCTAGAAGAAATTCACATTCTGTGAATCCCCACAATCTGAATTAATCGGAAGTGCCTATTAAATATTCAGGATTATAATCGTCAAGGTGATGGTTCAGTCAGGGACTGACCCGCCCTGGAACATCTTTATTCGGATACTGTATGAGACCAAACAGAGCTAAGAAATTCACAAAAAATCGTAAAAACTGATGAATCAATGCAAATATGAGTGGGACACTTCGAGAGGCAGTAAACCTTCTTATCAGTCCGTTCCCTTATCGCCGAACTCCCTGTCTAAAGAAATAGCAGTGGTAACGAACTCGTCAAGGCTCGAAAGACCGACTGGAGGGCAAAGTTCTCGACTCATCTCGAAATTTATGACCCCCGTCATGCATGGAATTCAATTTTAGGTACTTTTCAGGCTTGAGAAATCGAAAGGTCCCTACAGACC